GCCCAAGTCTGTAGAAAAACGAGAACGACTGCGTAGAGAGGCCGAATACTATGGTTTGAGAAATCTTCTCAGGGAGATGGATCGTCGGGCTTCAATTTCGCCGTGTACTATTACACTCAGCTACCGCGGAATGATTCAGGCGGCGAGAGATAATCTTGCAGACGTGCAATTCCGAAAAATAATGCGAATTCTTATATCCGGAAAAAGTTCTGTTTGTCGCGAGGTGTTTGGATCGACACTGAACGAGAGTCGTGCTCCAGACTGTGGAGTTGAAGTTGATCGATACACCAGTCGCTATTATCTGACGCACAACGCCCTGGAGATGGCTTTTGATAAACTGCTGGAAGCAGGTTTCACCTTGGTTGGTTGCTGCGGTGAAGCTTCGACAACTAATAGTTCTCAAAAGATAAAACCCACTGCCGACGTGGACGAAGGACGTTACCAGTTTTTCCATGAATTCTATTTTGTCCGATAAAAATAAACTTTGATGCCACGAAGAAAATGCTGATGTATGTGAACAGAGAGCTTTCTATTAGTGCGATATTGTGTGTATGTCTGTTCTAATAATAAAGTTGGTCGATAATCCTCATGGACGTCGTAGATTTGTGCTTAGCGTTCTATTTTTACTGGAAATTTTTACACACAACTCCTCTGCAATCGGGGTCACAGACATGAGCTTGCGGAGAAATTTAAACGCGAGAGTACACTATTCAGTTTTATAATCCCGTGTGTTTTGAAAAATATGGTTAGCATTATTATTAGCCTGCTCATTTTGCTAAAATTGGTGAATCAACCGTTTTCTCTAAGCATTAATCAAATAATTAAATGAAAATAGACTTAAAATAGAGAATACGTAATGTGATTGAAGGAATTGACTAGGTGACACCGCAGTTCCGAGTAATCTGTACTATGGTCAAGTTACTGAGCACCTCCCAAAGAATTTAAAATTTTACGTTTTGAAAAACAAATATTGTGGCCCTGAAGATGTTTTCCTTTAATTGAATTACCCTATTAAGTAAGTTATATTTTACAAGACATAGTTGCAGAAGAAACTCTGATAACGTTCTTTTGCTGGCTTTGTCATCATTTGTACGTTTCACATTCAACTGTAATGTGTCTGCTGCCATCACAGTTTGCATTTATGAGTGAACGTAGGCTATAGAAATTTTGGAACCTTATATACCCCTAGTCCCAGCATTTTATCTTACAGAAACAGTGTTTGTAGGCGTTTTAATGGTGGAGAATTAGAATACGCAGTGGAATATAATTTAGTAACTGCTGTATGCATTTTTGTTTTATTGTATTTAGAAATGTTGTTAATTTTGTATCTGTTTGATTTTCCTAATCTGTACTATCGTTTAACCTATCCGGAAAAACCTGATTATAAAAAAGCAGGTTTCCCGAATTTCCTGAAAAAAAAAGAAATGGTGTTAGGAGGTCATCTACTACAACTTACCTGAGGTCCAACTTACCAATGTGGAGTTACAGTATTGCGAGTGCTGCAAGAAACTTTCGTGACGAAATTTATTTTGGTAGTTTAGCGTATATTTTGCCAGGTTATTTTGATCAACTGAGTGGATTTAATAATTAAAAAGGCTTTGGTTTGGAAAACTTCCCTCTTAATTAGAGGTATAAAGCAAAGTAGGCACTAATTTTGGCTTAATCATGAGTAAGTTTATCATGAACAAATTTCCTATGCTATAAGGTACGACACAACCAAACTTTTTATTAATATTCGTTGTGCTATGGACAAGGTCCAAAATAAGCAGAAAAAATTTTCAAAATGATTCCTTCCAGAACTGGATAATTCTATCAAAAATTATTCAGATTCAAGTGAAGCTATGTAGAAGGATTAGCATTAATTTGCATAAATATTTGAGACAAATATTTAAAAAAATATATTTAGCTATCCTGTGAAGTATTTTTGCACAAAATGCAGTAACAAAAAGGTTTCCTTGGAAACTTTGTTGAACCGCACCGCTCTACTAGCGCATAAGCAAAGTGTTGCATGTGTTAGCGCAAATTTAATGCAAGGAAGTCTTTGTTGAATGTAAGTCATGTAGAAATATAGTTTTTTTAACTATACGTTCCGATTTTGCGTTATTTAGAAACGGCACTGACAGGAGAATAATAACTTTTTCAAAAATGGCCAAATATGGCCAGTTTGTTACATTCGCAAACTTATAGCAGATCGTGGAATTAATACACGTATGCGGAAAACAACCC